TACTTAATAATAAGAAATCAACAACATGTTGAAGTTATGTTACGCTCCATCAATTGATCAACTGTCTGTCTGTCTGTCTGTCTGTCTGTGTACGCTTGTTTAATCGCTGCCACAACGCATACAACATTACGGCCTCTGCGAGATGAGGCTAGAGAAACGAGTGTGCGATAACTCACTGAACAAAGTAATCTTGTAATAATCTCCTGTTTCCAAGAGCTGTCACTTAACGCTGCATTGGAGCGAGCTGACAAGAAGACGCCCAGCAAGCGGCACGGTAGCCAGAATTTGCTGCCAGGATCGGGGGGATGCCAGGCAGATGTGATGAGGTGCAGCATCGAACGACGGATGATTAAAAAATATTATGGGGAATTGAAACGCTGCAGTGTTCGCTGTGTTTATCACGTGGTTGCAGATACCGGTTTCAGAAGTGAGCGTTCTTGAGTAGTGCCATCGAGACCATAGGCACGCCATGAAAGGAGATGTGCCACAAATTCAGTCCTACTTCTTTACCAGATCTAAACTAACGGAAAAGTTCTTTGCCTCGTTGGAACCACCAAATCTACGATGCTTTGAAATTTAGCGATTGTAGTTGTTCGTTGCGAGGCGATCGTTCAGTCGCTGATAGTTATTTTCGTCGTCTGGTGTTGTGTTTATTTCGTTCAAGGTAGCGTTGTGGCCGAAAGCTTGTTTTTCCACCCACGGCTAGACTTGGTCGGTGGTTCAAACTTCGACGAAGGTAACTGATGACTAAAATAACACCCTACACGATCGATCAGCTGCCGTTGTTGTTGTATCATCTGTGGGTTTTTTAAGTTGACGTTTTTTTCTGCCATCAATGAGTCCCAAACACGCTCTTCTGCTCACGTTTTTCATGGTTCACTGTCCTCCGAGATTTGCTCTGCTGTCGTCTCTGTTGGTCGTCTTCGAACAAGCATCAGTAGAAGCTGTGTGCCGGTCGAATCAACGTAGAAATACATCCCGTCCATACAGACAGCGGCCGTTGCACGTCATTGGTCGTAACAGCAAAGATTCGGTTGCTTTTATCACTTGACTTGAGTCGCCTCAGTTGTTGTCCTGCAGAAACGAGCAACAACAGGTGAATAAATCTCACGTCCACGTTTTATATAGAATTACTTAAAGTACAGCCAAATCATCAGCTGCTGAAGGAAGGTCATAGAATCTGCTCAAAGACTCATGTTTGTTTCAACTTCTTTAAGGCTTCATATCTTCGGAAATCCATTGTTCAATGCATGGGAGTCTAAAGGAAATGATCTGTATCAGAGAGGTTCTGTTTTCCTGTTGTTGAATGGCAACAACAGAGTGGTGGTTAACTCAATGTCTTCATCAATATGATGACACCTGACTTCGAAGAATTTCCGCATCGACGATCGTGAAACAGTAAGATTTCGTGACGTCATCGAAGCAGGCAAAACCAAGCAACGCTTCAAACAAACAAGTCACAGCCTTGTCAGCTATCCGCAGTGCAGTGACTTTTGACGTAACATGTCTTATGCCGTATTTCACCGTTTCAGTTCGCTTCAGGCACAGAACATTAAGTTGACAAAATCCGGAAACAGTCAGATCTCAACATTCCAAACAGTTGAGTGATAATTGACCGAGATATGCTAAATGAACATAAGACTGGTGAGCAGAGCACTTAAGCGCGGTGTTTTAAAACTAGATTTATGCAACAGAACCAAGAAAAAAGATTCATTGGTCACCTCGCCGGATTATCACTTTGTAGTTGCACCCTCCCCTTCGTTCCAGTAGCCTATGGGACCGTTAAGGCACGTCATGGCTCAGTAGTATTCTAGCATTTGCAATTCGTGAAAAGTGCATAACCGCACTAATTTGTTCAGGCGAACATCACTGGATATGCCTTGATCTTTAAGCATATATAACAGAAATTAATACCTGTATTATGAGCTTATTCGCTGACAGGGAAATACAGTTTCGACTTCATCGGTGAGAATAACGAGCCTCTGTTATTTTTCCAGATTCATATGGCACAGTGGCACACAAAAGCTGGACTCGTTATGAAAACTGAATTTGTATGATGAGAGCA